AAACAAAGTGACACATCAATGTACTTTCCTCCCAGAGCTAGCAGAACTTTCTTATTGTTAAAACAGAGAACTATTCCACTGCCAACCAACTGGATTTGAACTCATTTGCAAACAGAGTGCTTTATCGCTTTGTTACAAATGGATTTAGTGCGACTGTACTGAAAGCAGGCACACGCCAACTACAAGATGTGCTAATCCCCTAAAGGCATCCTGCAGTCATTGTATCCACAAAGCACTCTGCTCAGCACACCTGCCTTAAAGCAGAGTTTCTCTTCCTGCGCATCAAGGATAATCCAATTTATAACTATGAGCATGAACAGAAAGTCACAAATTCCCTCGCTCACATGTCGTCATCTGTCAAGTGTAGCGCTACCCAAATGCAAAGTTTGGAAAATATGCTTAAAAAGTCAAAGTGGGAACAATAACATTGTGTAGCATTTTCCAAATCTGAACTGACAATGCTAATCTTTTGGGTATAATTAAAGTGTCCAATGAAGTGTCATTGTCTATGGCACTGCTCCTTACAACTTTGAGTTTTATTTGTCTGGTTTCTGGCTTTGAGGGAGAGTTTTATATTGATATTCTGTATTCTATGGGTCAGCAAACTTCTTGATGTTTGGGCATACTAGACCTCATGGACAGGGATTTACTTTACAGAGGGTATGCCGTGTACTGTGTGAGCCTTGTCTGCCAAGCATCCTGTCTGAAGTCCATTAAATATGGTGTGTCCAGGTATAAGACTCCCAAAACCATGGCCACTGCTATTCTACTATTGAAACTAACATTACTTTACTGTAAACTGTAGAATTTACTGATAGTGAATATGTCAGGGAAACAACTGTACACCACAGAGGTGAGACCACAAAATCTGCATTTTTTGCTGGACATCTTCTGTACAGAAACTCAGCAGCCTCACCCACACTGTAAACTGCTTTGCTGATTTCCAAGGAAGGTTAAAATCAAAGGAAACTGGACTTGGTTGAAGTTACTCGAAAACGTTTCGCCTCTCCTCCAAGAGGTTTCTTTAGTTCTAGCTGCCTAGCAGGGACTCCCAGCAATTTAACCTCTGTGGGGTCGTTGTCAAGGTGATTCATAACGCTTGGTTTGTTAGTGCTCCTGGCTGTTGTGACGACAATTGTTATGGTCGTTGGAAACACCTAAGACCAAGTCTGAATGAGTCATTAGCATTCTCACATCAGGCCAAATGTGAGCGTTTCTTCGGTTTCCTGGAAAAGGATTAAAGGACAGCGTTGTAAGTGGGGGATAAGTGGTGTCGCAATACTCTTCCCCTGTGAAGAGATGGTTTCTCTACTCAGGTGTAAATGGCTTATTTGACTCCTCTTTCAAACCATCTGTCCTCCCTGTCCAAAATATGTACATTATCCCTTCTGTGTTGGGGCATGCGCTTGTGTGGAGGTTGTTTCCCCAATATACAGGTCAGCGCTCACTGCACTGGACAACATACAATCGACAGGACAGCTGTAATGACTGTCGTCACAACTGCCAGAAGCACTAACAAACAAAAGTGGTATAGACCATCTTGACAACGACTCCACAGAGGTTAAATAGCGGGGATTCCCGGACAGTCAGTCAGAAATGAAGAATCCTCTTAAATGAGAGGTGAAATGTCTTCCGAGTATCTTCAACTTCAGTTGCCCTTGATTTGAACTTTCTTGGCTAATGTGACCTGGATGACTACAAATGTTCACAGACTGCTTTGTTGATGGTCTTTAGTTGTACGTATTGCTACAGCACCACACCTGTCCTCAGGTTGGAGTGGGACATGTTGAAGTGACGACGAGATGAGAACTAGAGGAGCTGTGTTGTTGAAGAGTTAAGAGAGGTGAGCACAGACCCTGATAGAACATGCTCATGAGGCTGGTATTTCCCCTCACTAGAACATTCATTTTTCTTCCCTACCGTACAAAAAGGAGGGTTGTTTGTGTTGCTGTCTAAAGGCCCATTTAAACTCCTGCGTAAGGTCATGCATTTATACTTGTGCGTAGGTGTGTCATTCTGCAATTACACCCCCAAACGCCAGTCGGCAATAGCGCTACAGCATCCACTGTGTTGACCGCTAGTAAATGTTACTTCAACGCGCGGGGTACTTCTGGTCGGCTCGGAGGCATTGCGAGGCTACCCAGCCTACCAATCACAGAGCTTATGGTCCGTGTTGATTCGACGTGTAGTCTACATGTTTTTGCTAATAAAAAACTGCTTTGGAGAGACTAAAGAACTGAGCTGGGTGGTTACAGTATGTGAAAGGGAACAGATTGAATCCCAGCAGAAGCCAAGAACTTGAAAGCTTTACCCCACATGTTCAGGTCTAAAACAGGCCATTAGCAACAGTAGCTTGGGCGTCCTGGACCACAGTGTCCAACATATGTTCTATTCTGTTACCCAGGATGCAGGTCACCTTGACAATATCTCAATCAGCAGATAGCAGGTGGTCTGCCTTTCTCACTCCTGACATCCAACCACTTTGTGTTGTTTTGTAGTTTATGTGCGTCCAAAAACTGAGCTCAGTGAAGGAAAGAAGTGCCAGGGATCACACGGACTATTAGGAACCTATTTAGCACTTTAGTATTTCCATGTAGGTCAGGTTAATTTGAGAGCTTAATATTTTTGCATGTATAAATGGTGGTTGAGTTTGTGCTTTTGACTGGATAAAAAGCTGAATTTAGACTGGCAGTCCAAGGTTGTGGACTCCCAGCCCAATTGAAAACCCAAATGCATGTCTTAAGCTGAGCAGACTTTCTGCTTCAAGTGTTCCTTCCCCTACACAAATGAACCCCTGTCATTAATCGGGTCTGTTGCTCCGTGTAGCTGAAATCAACCGGTTTCTCACCTTGAGGAGCCTCCTCAGAAGCATCATGCATCCCCTCCTTCTTCGACTCCTTGTATCCTCCACCCTCACCCTGGTCTGCCTCCTTTGGCATGCTAAGGTCTGCAAGACAACAGATGACGTTTAAAGTTGCAAATGCGCAGTTATGTGAAACGCTGCAAAAGTGCTGAAAGTCAGGACAATGCCCAGCGACTGCACTATATGCGACACATTCTAGCTATACATGCAGGACTGTTACATCAGTGAAGGGTGTTTGTGGTGGGATTTTCATGTCACAGTTAAAAACAGAAGGAGAGCTGCAGGTTTGTTGTGATGTACAGATGATGACATCACCTAGACGGGAGGGGGGGACGAGCCAGCGCGATGCTAAGATGACTTGAGGCGGTGTGCACGACAGAGGTAAACAAAACCTCTCGGCACTGTGTCTGCCATTGAGTGTAATCTGCGGAAACGTTACTAACCTTGCAGTCGTCAGCCCCGAGGAAAGAGACGGGTTAGCTGTGAAGCTCAACTTGTCTGGCTAACGTTAGCGTTAGTCAGCGTGAACACAACAACAACAACAACAACAAAGCCTTGTGACACAGCTAATCCTTCATAGCCTCTGTCATGGCGGAGTTATCACTGTCACTGTTATTCACAACTTCACCACTGCCAGACACCGTCTTCAACAGAAGGAAGGCTTTGTTTCATCCCAGAAAACTCGGGCTTTTTAATGCCGCAGCCCTGCACTGACGGGGTCGCCGCTAACCAAGCGACTCTTCCTGTTTTGGGTGGAGCTAACATGACGTAAGAGCCGAGCCCTCTCGTGCACACAACAAACACAAAGGATATCATCACATTATCTTCAATATCAGCAAGCACTGAGGTTAGAACCCTCCTTTGACTATTGACATTATGAATGCTAAATGCAACAATGAACTACGTAATACACTCTGTAGAAGAAGGAACATTATCCGAAAGGTAAAGTCTGGGATTGTATCCACTGAAGAAGGCACATGGTTACTGCCATACAAATTGTGTATTAATGGATGTGCACTTCTTTAATCTTATTGCTAGTTAACAATAAGAGTATGAATGCTAAATGCAACATCAACTTCATTAATCTTATTGCAAGTTAACATTCTTATTGTTAGCTATAAATAAGATTAAAGAAGGGCACATCAAAAACATTGAATTTCTTGGATTTGTTTTTCAATGATGAACCAGAATCGTTACAGCATTTACTTTTCCACTGTATACATTCACTTACTTTTTGGACTCGTATGAAAGGCTAACGCATTAAACTAAAAGCAATGTTAAAATTGAATGTATAAATTTCATTGCATATTTCGAACATGTCCAGGGTGTACTCCCGATGTAAACCGGGTTTGGCTCCAGCCCCCAGCGGACCCTGTACGCGGATAAGCGGTTGACGATGGATGAATGGATGGATTTCGAACATGATAAATGTAATGTCAAAGCAATTGTAAACATACTGAATTTACAAGGCAAATTCTATAAATGAAAAGTCCCAAAGACTCTCCCCAACTTCTATGCGAATTTAAAGTACAATAAAACCCTTAAACTCATTGACACCAATGTAAATGTAACAGTATCATCAACTGCACAATTAAGCCTTTAATGAAAAACACTAATCTTTTTTGTTTGCTTGTTCCATTTTCTTTGTTTTGTTATGCTGTTCCTCTACAGCTTTATGTGAAGAATATTAGGCTATTTCCTTTCTTCATCTGCTCTAGAAGTACATAGAAGTATTGAGCCTACAACACCTACAGCAGCCAGTATGAGCACATTGGATCAAAGTCTCACACCACCCCACTATCTGCAGTCAGTACTCAATAGTGTGTACACTCAAACAAATTTCTTTCCGCAGTATTCCTTGGGGTCAATATTAATCATCTCAACATTATGAACAAGTTATAATTTTAATTCAATAGACCTCACATTTGGCAAGAAAAGTCTAGATCAAGCTGCTCAAAAGTTACCAGTATATAGAGATTTGTTATACAATTCATTTTCAACTTAATAAATGAAGTTTTCCTGTGATGGACTGGCGACATGTCCAGTGTCAGATGGGACTAACTCCTACCACCCACGATCCTGCACAGAGAAGCGAGTATAGAGAATGAATGGATTTATATTTAAGAGAAACACAGTGAAGAATATATTAACTGTTTATTTTGTTCAATAACACAAATACAGTGTAATCATACCTCCACAAAGATTTACTGACAGTCATAAACATTTCTTTGAAGTCAGTCAGCTTGTGTCTAACTGACCAAGTATTTACCCAAAATGTAAAAGGCAAAAACGGCTGTAGAAGATTTCAGAGACACATAGCCTATGCTATATGCTAAATCTATAGCACTCGAACAGCAGATTCCCCAAAGTACTGGATAAATATCTCTGGGTGGGCTTGGTAAAACTGTCCAAGTAGGCGCTTTCTCTCCTTGGCAGACATCTTGGTGTCCAGCTGGATGCTGTTTAGCAGAGCCCACAGTTCCTGGTTGGTGGACTTCTTTGTAGTATCAGCGTGAGTCCTGCTGGAGACCTGCTGACAGAATGTATAGCCTAAAGGACAGAAGAGAAAAAACATAATGTTAACAGGGAGTGTTTGTTCATTATTATAGAAATCAGGTAACTGTCACTAACAAATCGCAACAACTGGGACTTCAAACAGCAATAAATTATTAGTTTTAGCCACAACACTCATAATATTAACATATCACCATATAAGATTGTTAAGGGAAATGTGTTAGTAAGCACAAGCTCACTTCTAGCAGTTGGATTTTCTGGCCAAATATATGGTCAGTATTATACTGTATTTCATTAGCTCTGTGCCTGTACTCTACAAAATGACAAGATTAAAGTAATCTAAAATTTAATTTGATTTCAGCGCTCTGTCTCTTTCCACCAACTCCTGAGGGAAATATCTGGCTCTCTGCCTGCTAAATACTCGACTCTGTAAAGCAAAGTAGCTAGTTGTTAACTTTGTCTACATTTTGGTGTTGGGAAGGTAGTGTGTAACCCCCCCAATATAAGAAAAGTGTAAAATGTCTGACACCATTTTATAATCTAGTCTGCATTAACTAATATTGTGTGTGATTTCTAAATGCGAGATCCCTAATTGTTTAGTGGAGACAAAACCATAAGCACAGATTTGGTATTTTAATGGATCCCACATCTATGATGTTTTGATCTTTTATCAAAGTTTATGTTGGACACTGCTGTCATTTACCCGTCACGTCGGGTTGCTTCCCCTGTACAAGGCTGGCCAGCTTGTCACTCACGCCTTTGTGCAGAGCCCCTGGTATCTGGAGCAAAGAGAATAAAGAATTAGGGGCAAATGATTTAATGGCAGAAAATGGTTTGTCAATTCAATTACACTTGAAAAACTGTCTTTTTAATGCAAGATTAATACCACTTATTCTTTTCACTGAAGCCCTTACCCAAGTGTCTGGGACAGGACTTTCTGAAACTCAACAACAACTCAATTTGAGCAATTTGTTTACCCAACAATGAGTTACAGCACCACTGAATGTCAGAGCTCAAACAAACACTTTAAAGTCGGCCTCAAACCACTACAGAAAATCCTGAGTCAACCTTCTGATAAATTGTTGGGACCAGAAATTGAATTAGAAGCAACACATGTGACTTCTGCCAACTTCGTACTCCAAAGGATTTCTTTTAAAACCAGACTTGGTTTTGTTGAAACAGCGGTGTTTTTGTAAGTTTGAATGAAGGGTGTCTTACGATGACTCAAAGCTGGGGTAGGCAATTTATTTCAGAAGGATTTCTGTTATATTTGTTGAAATTCTCTTTACATCCAGAGAGCAATTAGTGTTGTAGTCAAGACCGCCTAAACCGAGACCAAGTCAAGAGCAAGACCAGAGTTTATCGAGACTGAAAGGGGGGGGGGGGGGGGGGGGGGGGGGAGTCCTGAGCCATCATATTGGACTTCTTCCACAAGTGATATTACAACACAGGATGGGCCGGGGCCATAAATTCATAACAGGAAGCTTTGTTACACATTGATTGTGGCCGTGGAGTTTGGAAAAACATGCAGGATTTTCTCATGAAAACTGCTGTTCAGTTGCATTATGGGACAGTGTTGTTAGAGCTTGACGAAGGAGAAGTATAATGTATTGGGCCTGCATTCCCCCTACCTTAAAAATGTCCTTTATGTTGCTGAGCATGAAGACCACCATCAGGTCCTCTTTCTCCTTTGAAAGAGCCTTGCTGAGGAGGATTGCCCTCGAGAAAGACCTCTTCACTGCCAGTCTGTTCTCCATCTACAGGTTCAACAGCACATCTTCAATATCAAATTACAGAAAAACAGCAGATGGTAAATTTTTGGAACAAGCCCTCTTTTTCATCCCACCCCTCACCTGCCTACCTGAAGACAGGTGCCAGAGTGATGACTTAACATTCAAAAATCATTTTCTTGGATATTTAACAAAAACGCATTATCGATTACAAGACTCAGCCACCAGCTCTCACCTCCTTGTCCAGCTTTATCCCCTGCGGGTCACCTGCCAGAGCCATGAATGTAAGCAGCCTGCGCAGCTCGTCTCTGCAGGAGGGAGGCAGCAGCTTGAGACACAGCTGCAGAGCCTCAAGAGCTGTGCCCAACTTGGCATTGACTGGGAAGGCAAGAGAGGCACAAATGTAAGTGATACTGAGGTTGCTCAAATATAAGAGGAGTTTGTGCAACATGGCTAGAGAAACAGGCTTGGTTACAACCCCTGCTTTACTTAAACTAGGACAGTGTGAATCTAAATACATGGTGAAATTGACTTTTCATGTGAGAAACCACAGTTTCTGAGTCACAGTCCAAGCTCTTACCCAGCAGGTCAGTGATGGCTGTGTAGATGTCAGTCATGTGCTGGGGCAGCAGTGGAGGTCTGTCTGCGTGGCTGTAGTGTTTCACCAGGGTCCTGTACAGCAGCAGCTTACACTGGGCCAAACCACTCTGGGAGAGACAAAGCTGCTCACCAGACTGCCCTGAAGCCAGAAATACAGAAACTTATATAGGAATTGCTTTCAACACAAACCTGTCATACAGTATCAAACCATTACCAAAGCTTCTTTAGACGTGAGGATACCAAACTCAGTCAGGTAGTGGAACCAGCCTTTGTAGGATACCAGATACCTGGCCTTGCTCTGGAGGACTAAACGCCTTATTCTGATACTCATCCAAGCACTTGCCTCCATCTTGTGAACTACCACCAGCTGACACTTGCTCACAGCTGTCCTGATCTTGTGGGAAACAGTGAGGCAGCTCCCTGCTCAGCTCTACCACTGGCTGATCAGGGAGGAAGTCCAGACAGTCCAGAGCTGTACAGAGCCACTCATCTTCCCTGAGGGACAAGGAGGAATACATGAAAATAAACAAGCACATTTTATATATACACACACTATATGGTTATACATTTGCTGAATTTAGAATATGGATACCACTACCAAGTCTGTACTGTAAATATGAAGCTACCTCCAGCAGCTGAAACAAAGGCAACAACATTCACCTAGCAGCACCTCTAAAGCTCGATAACTAGCTTAATACATAATATTTTTGCACAAGGTAGATTTTGTTGCCTTTTAGACAGAGCTGTTTCCCCGTTTCCAGTCTTTGTGGTAAGCTATGCTAACTAGCTGCTGGCAGTAGCTTCATATTTGCAGTTTAGACATGCGAGTGGTTTGTTGTTAAACTATTCCTTGATATTATTTCTCTTTTTTAAATGCAATAACTGAGATTTCCTGCCTTAGTTCGCTAATAAGTGTTATATAATATTAATTCAACAGTCAAAACCACTGATTATTTTTTCCAACATACTGCGAGTTCCTCAAGGCCTTGAGGATCTGTCTATCCAGGTGGTTGCTGCTGTAGATCAGGTCTGGGTTACTGTGAGCCAGCAGGTTTAATGGAGGGGGAGAGGATGGGGTCTGGCTGCACTGAAGCACCCCTTCCAGCATGGGGAGCTCCACTAGGTTTAAAAGCCTGAGCAGAGTCTGCTCCTGCCACACCTCCTCTACCACTGGGGAGAGGAGCATGACAAAAAAAAAAGAAATACTTAAACAAAAATGATATTGTACTGTTGAATAGTTTTCTACTCAGGGGAAACAAATAACACATTGTTTTAAAGATAAAAAAGAAATCCTCCCTAGTATATAACAGCCCTTTATCGCCTCCTTTTTTACCCTTTGATTTAAAGGTTTAGAAGACTTAACATTTGGGTTTTTTATATCAGCATAAAATTAATAGAGCTCCATTTTAAAAAGGGAACTTACACTCCTGACTAAAACTAAATCTAAGATTAACTGAACTAGATCTGCCTCTTCAAATTCAGCCATTTCAAATATAGCCCCAGTAATTCTAAAATTTGAAAGGGTTTAGCCATTTGTTTCCATTTGTCAATTCAATTGGTCAGTTTTGGGACATTTACAAAGCAAGTGTGAACCCCCCCCCCCCCAAAAAAAATAAAACATGTACATAAACCGATGAATTGTGCTATGGTGCACTGGTGTCCTACTGAGAGTGTTTTCTTGCCTTTCACCCAGTGCATGCTAAGTGAGCCTCCAAACCCTGTGACCATGAAGAAGTGTGTTGCTGCTCCCCAAAAGCTTAAGCCTGCACTTTAACAAAGGAAGAGTGGCACAACAGGATGAAACACACACACACACACACACACACACACACACACACAATGACACTGGCGTCTTACATGACTGTGGTAAAACAGTGTCAGTCTGTACTCTGCTGGGACTCAGACTGTCCACCAGAGGCTCCAGTGACAGCCTGGCACTGGCAGGAGTGTCCGGTTGGTTGGCTTTTATGGATGTCTGAGTAAATCGGACAGGGGTGGACATCTGAACATGTAACCCAGTGGGACGTGTCTGCTCTTCCTGCCTGGATTGCAAAACAGAGAAACTGGTGACAGGTCGGAAAAGCATTTTGAGGATTCTAGTACAGGCTAAGCGATACGACAACAAAGACATGACTGCCTAGTAGAGATTTTGCTATCTCGTTTATACAGTGGCAGCTCTCTCATTAATATATCTGCACTGGACAATGTTCCAAATCAATTAACAGCAACCGCGCGATGGCAATCAACACATTCCTGTCTGGCAATGTTATCTTTAAAAGGCCAACTCCCCCAATTGTATACTTCATAGTCTGTTTAAAGGTCTTGGTCTTGGTTAAAGGTCTGATGCACTGAGAAAAACAAGTACCTTGAGGCTCCAGAGGGAGCTGCTTGAAATCTGATCAACTGTCTCACATGATGTCAGAAATTTGAAAATGAAACAGGTTAGAAAGAAGTGAGCTAACCCTCCCTACATTAGCCACTATTAGCATAAGACACACAAATCTCGAACTGAAATGTTGGTGGTCGAGTTGCACTGTGGGTAATGGAGGCAACAGGTTTTGACACAGAAAATTAAATGTATTTATTCAATAGTCCTACAGTACATCCAGTCTTTGTGAGTCATTTAATGTTCGGTTTATGCTAACACTATGAGATAGGTGTTCAACCCTACGGTCATCTGGAGGCTGTAGTTCGCTGTGTCGTTGGACTGCATTATAGATATAATGTTTTTAAATATAGATGTGTGACAGAAATATACACTAGGAGATAAACCTCTAACTGAGTGTATGTAATGTATGCTATGTAAAAGTGAATGATTTAAGCTTAATACCTGTCTGAATTAGCACTGCAGAAGAGGTTTTGGATCCCATTCACCAGCACACTTCTTTCCAACTCATCGACTGAAGGAGTACACACATCTACAAACCTACGTGTAAAAAGACTAATCATGTTAACACATTTACTTTGTAAGAAAATGAAGGAGGCTTGATGAGCATGGTTGTATCTAACCTGTAAAGAGCACTCTTGCTGTCCTGAAAGGCATCCTGCTTTTTGTCTTTTCCAAAGACTTTGGTTCCCACCGCCTCAAACACATTACAGTCCAACAGAGCCTGGCACACGCACACTACTTTGCCCCGTGACACAGTAGCACCTTACATTTTAGCCAAACAGAAAGAGGAAACGGCATTTTGTTGAATGTATTTGGGTCCATAAATAAAAAGAGAGAGAAAAGATGAGAAGACAGCCTGGGTCAAACAGATGAAAAATGCTTTAACGTATTTGGTGTAAACTTTGAGAGTAACAGAACGCCACCACATATAAAAATGCCCAGCACACACACCCTCAATGCCTCTGACACGATTAATGTGTTCTGCCAGCACGTCCGCAGCCTCTGAGCCGAGGAAACAGTCATTGTGAGACTTGAGGTGGACTCGTCTGCGCTTCACTGTCACAGAGGACCTGAGCTGGGAGATGAGGCCACTCCACATGGAGAAAGACTGGACTGGTTTACTGGCCACTCCATGTGCTGAGAGAGAAAGGCACAGAGAAAATCACAAGGACAACACACTGAGTCAGTATCAACATATATTTACAGATGACCTGTACAGGGCTGGAGGAGAGATTTATAGGAGGATGTATAAGCCACTGTGAGGAATGACAGCATGAAGAAGAGGACAGGCTAGTAGAGGAAGACAGAGGAAAAGTGAAGTCTTACTAACTAAAATAAGCAGCAGTGAATTGGGGCTTATTGTTAATCAGTAAACAACCTTAGTCAGTTTTAATGCGCTTAGTTTATAATAGCTGACCAGGATAAAAGACTGTTAGGTGAGCAGGCCTCCATGTACTGCAGGAATCTCACCGCCTCGTTGAAACGTGTGTTTAATTAACTTACCTTGAGGACGCACACACAACTTTTCTGCAAGGTTCAGGGCCGCGGCTCTTTCTTTTATCGAGGTCATGCCTACCAAATGAATCGAAAAGCAGCTGAGTAACGCTTATTTAATTGATCATAGGTGGGCGAGACAGTCAGGAGAAAGCAGCCGGTGAAACAAACAACGTCCGAGCAGAGGCGCCTTCAGCATATGTGCAACTCCAAGATTGAACCGCTAGATGGCACCAATCGCTAAGTCACAGTGAACTCTGCTGCCTGATCATGTCCTGCTGTGTTCACTTCTTTTTATATACAGTCTATGGTTCACTTGCATTAATAGTAGACGTACACGCTGAAACAAAAGGGGGGATTGTCACTCAGCCAATGGTGCCTTCAGTTGATTTAGTTTGCATGCCATAATCCTTCTGCTCTTTTAACATTGAATGAAAGAATATAAAATATTGTTATTCGCACTGTATTTTGACACCAAGATCACAGAGGGACACAAGAATTCCTGCATCCTCATCTGTTTAGTGTGTGTGTGTGTGTGTGCAGGTGATGTCGGCTAAATAAAAGTTAGACATTCAGTTTTCCTCTCTCGGTGATGCAGCACAACCAGATGTGAGCACAAATCCTGTCCGATCTTATCGCTTTAATGACCCACAGGCGGTGGTGTGATAGGGCCCATACCTGCAAGCTCTGTGCTGGGGCTCTGCAATAGAGGAAAACAGTCGAACATTTGAGGAGCTCTGTCTTAATGAAACCTGCACTCTTTTGCATGCTAATTTAAATCAGTTCACTGCACTGCACATTATTAATAAATGGAGATGAAAGAAATATGCATTTATTTATTTTGTGGATGTAGACTAATTTTAACCATTAAATTTGTGGTTTTAACAATTTTTAGTGACCTCTCTGCCAACAGTTAATCATCAAAGGTTAGTTAGTTTACAAGATGGTAAAAAAAAAGACAAGAAAGGAGAAGCTGAGCCTTTTCTCTTGCCACCATTTCATTGACCTAGAGGCACAAATAAGTTAGCATCTTTGCTAGCTGGGAACGGTAATGTAGCTAACGTTAAGGCTAACATAAGATTAACAAACCACACTTTACCAGACTAATTCAGTTAAAACAAAAAACATTTATCTACATATTTTAAATCATTATATCTTAAAATGAATGTACAGTATTATTTCTGGGTTCATGTTAGCACGTATGAGGCTCATGCTAGCTGATTTTCATTGTTAGCTAGCTTTTGGTTTAAGCTAAAGTTTTGGCTAACTTCAGTTAATTCCTACAGGAAACTGGATTGATTGTAATTGAGAAGCCTCACACTAACTTGTATTTGTAACGTTAGGCTAAGTTAATGTGGAGTTCATTAGCTAAAACTGCTAATTGGCTTAAGAACATTTAACATTAAGTTAAAGCTGGACAAAAGACATTAAGGTAAGTTAATGTTAACTTAGAAACTGTCTTCACCTGATAAATGAATCAAATATGTAACTTTATGAATTACAAGAAACAATGGATAACTCAAACAATATGGCAGTTTACAGTAAATTTTCCATATATATTTTAAAATCCCAGTAAAGTTAAAAATACCCACTTTCATAGAAAAAGTTAGCATTTAAAGAGCTTGATACTTTGCTTTAGTTGTAATATGGTCAGTGAGCGGATCAGTGTTTGTATCATAGACTGTATAAAAGAAGGTTAGTAGCTTATTTATACAGTGTTTATTGATAAATTTTCAAACACCTATCTTCATTAATACTCCAGCATGATGTGGTATTGGGCGTGTTGGACAATCTGACTTGCTGGAAGCTGGAAAAGCACAGGTGTTTCTATTAACGTTAACGTGTCCCACTAAGCCATGAGAGTGTTACAGTGAGCCAGCATACAATACAGGACCCTGAAACTGAAGCAGCTAAATGAAATTCACCCCTCATTTATTATGATTTGTTCACTGTGTTGGGCAAGCTACTTGGAAAATGTAGTGACCTAAGCTACTAGCAACTCTACAATAAATGAAGCTTCACTACCCCCCCAGTGAAATGTAGCAAGTTAAGCTACAGCAACATGGAAGAAGTAACTTAGTTACATCTTAGCTTAGTTACACCAATTTTATATATATATATGGACACACGCACTCAGTATGTGTTTTGTTGAACCAACTTCGTTTCACAGTAGCAAAAGAAGAAAGACTAAAAACAGTGTGTGTGTGCTAGAGAGAGCTAAATGTATTTCCTGATGCAACAAATGGATAACCATTGTTGTTTGTATAAAGTAACTTAATTATCACATTGCCATGTATATGTGTATATGTGTATGTCATGTAACACTGTTTCTTATTTTAATAATTGTTCCTTTGAAAAATTCTACTGCTTGTCAAAAACATTTTTAATGTAACAAAGGCCTATATTGTGTTTTTGTTGTTTTTATTCCTCTTTCTTTAGTTTATTAATTATATTTTTTTCATTGTTTATATGTGAATTTGTGCTCTGGCAACATTGCAACCTAAACATTCATGGCAATAAGTCTGAGAGAGAGAGAGAGATGTCTCATCTCATCTCATGGAAACAAGTTTCTGCCACTACATATCAAAGTTTCCTCCTCACTAGGTGAAGAGAGGCTTGGGAAAATGTGGCGTATGTGGAAGCTAACGCACTACTCGGTCAATAAAAGAGCTTCGTTACTGAAAAGCTATTTGATTGAGAAAATAGCGACGCTACCACCAAGCTACTGAGAAATGTAGTTAAACTAGTAACGCTACTGCCCAACACTGTTCACTGGTGCTTTTCCCACTGTTACATGATGAAACGTCTTCAGTAAGCTGTAATGTGATTACTTTTAACAATCTCAGGGCTGTAACTTTATTTTTCCTCAGTGTCTGTGTTACTGAACTGTAACTAACATAAGTCATCCGAAGGTAATACAGACATGATGCTTGATAGAAAAGTTCCCATTTAATGGATGGCAGTTCTTTTAATTTGTCTTGTCATGGCTTGGGCATGGTGGTTAATACCTTAATACTCCCTCACTCACGGGCACACACACATTCAGGGTGTGCACATGAGACACACGTACTCGTATCACTTTGACACACTAACACACGTTTGCACATCCCCTCCCTCCTCCGCCTGGGGTCACACTGTCATTTTATGATAGTAGCCAATTCCAGCAGGGATCATTTAATTCTCCAACATGATTGATACCAGCACAGGTTAAATGGGAGAAAAAGGGACTGTTCTATTAAGAGATCAGTGGCTGGTGGAGACCTCCCACTTAAATAGTCACATTTTCCCGTAGGTGTGTGTTTGCGTGTATGCAGTGTGTGTGTCACTCAGTTTCTTGGTTATGTTGAGGGGACAGAAACAGCGGCAGAGTACCATCTACAGGTCAAATTAAATAACCTAGATAATTTAAAAAGCATTGACAGAGCAATTTGTCCATTCAGTGTTATTGCTCTGACCCCTATTAGTGTCAATGGGCTGGTTCATTTGAACCTAGATGGCTTATCAAGGTGTTATCTTCTCACTGCCATGGAAGTGGTGTAGAACAAAGAAAGAAAAAAGCCTAATGGTCATTTCAAAGCCATTAGGTTAGATTGTAGTGATTGAGAAACATTACAGGGCTTTAATGTGCTAGTCTATTATTTCTAATAAAATCATTTAGCAGTAAAAATTGCAGATGAGAAAGTAATTAAAAGTTGATAAGTGGAAAAGCAGAGTGTTACTGCTTATTAAACAGCCAATTCTATTAACCTTTTTCAACATTTTTTTTTTTCTTGATTAACAGGCAGCAGAGCCCCAGTGGGACCTTGGCCTGCCCTGAAACAACTTGATGGATCCCAGTGCTGACTCCGGGACACCCCCCACCCACACCACTGTAAGTAACGACTTCTGACAGGAGAAGACAAAGCAAAGAAGTTTATCAGCTGATTTGTTTATTCATTTAAAGATTAGAAAAAGCGTTTGAAATAAATAATGACTATATATTGTACTCATCTCAGTTTTGTTTTCAATAAAGACATGGAATATGTTTTCTGATATTTATACTTTATTAAAAGCATTTATTTTGTCATGCAGGTTGGAGGACCTGTGTTGGGGCATGAGTTGTCTATGTCCAGCGCTCGCTGTCAAACAGAAAGTGGAGGCAACATCTTACTGCAGTTGTTGGAATTTAAAACCCATCTACTTGAGGCTGTAGAGGAGCTGCACATTCGGAGGGTATAGCAACACCACAGTCTGCGTATATAAGTTATTAGTTTTAAGGTAACGCAGCTTCAAATTTCAGGACTTAAAAATGAGTTCTGACTTAATGTCTTTTGGCCATTTAATTATCTAGGTACTGCGAACGTTCAGGTTCAGGCAAACTACTAGACAGTCTACAAACACACTTCAATTTGCATTGACATCTATAGGATCTTCGGTTTTCTATCCCCCAAAAAGGGACGCAGCCATGCTGTTTTACAAAGTACCCGTATGTGCTGGTCTGGTAGACTTCCCAGCATGCATTGTTTGAGAGTTAAAACACTTCAGAGACCGTTCTTTTTGTAGTTTAAAAAAACGTACACGATTTAAACTTTTGTGTGCCTTTAATACATGTTAAGTCACGGTTGTTTCTTGTCATAGTAATGAAAACAATGCAAACCATTGTGAAGGATAACATTGTATGCCGTCCCTACCCCCTTATGCATGCTTACAATTGGATAAAGTTGTTGGAAGCAGCGTCACATGATGTCTTTGTACTGCAGCAGGTGCAGTTGGATGCTCTCTGAACTGACAACTAAGAAAATGTATATAGAAAGCAAATCTTACTATATTTGTCAGTGTTGTTGGTGCAGTTTAATGGACTAGTTTGCTCAAGTTCAGTTGACTTAACTCAGCTGGTTTTACATTTTTGAAACTCATAAGACAACTTTGCACTAATCTAAGTTGAGCCGGCTTCAAATGATTTACAGTGAGCTCTATCAGAAATGACAAAATCTGTGTATTGTTTTGAGCATTGCTTACTTCCTGTGTTCCTCTGCGTCACATCACTATTTACTGAGAAGAACTTAGACACCAATGGCTCTCTGTTTGGGTAAAGAGCAGTGTAATTTTGTTTAACATAGTAGGGGAGTTGGTGTCATTGTGTCCTTAGAGGAAGCCAGCTGCCCTTTTAGACCATCTGGACAAGAGCCAGCAAGGTTTAATGCACATTGCGTCAAGATGGGGGTCACATAAGCCATTTGGCCCCTGACCAATAAGTAGAAAGGAAATTTGTTTGTAAAAGAAATGAAATAATGTTTTCCACCCTCCAGCAAGTACTTTCAACCTGACAACACATTCTGAGTGTGCTTAAGGATTAGGGAAGCAAAGATGGGATGTTGGTCATTTGTTGCCATTTAGTTTTTATTGTTATAGTCATGTTAACTGGGACACAAACATAAGATGGTCTATCAGTCGGGTCGTCCTCAGGCGCTGCTGCTATCAAAGTAGCGCTTTGTAGTTGTGTCGTTCACGGGGTGGAGAGGTTGAGAAGCGAGAAGGATGTCATGATGGTGCCGGACATTCCTCAGCAGGTCAAATTCCAAAGGGTTTGTTTTCTTTCTTTTTTTTTTTTAAATACAGTACAACCCACTGCTTTGGTTGGTGAGAACGTGGTATACTGGTAGACTTTACCCTACATGAGAAAGCACAACATTTAGGAAAATATGTAGTTAAAGGTGAGTGCGTATGACATTTAGTATGAGCTGAGGAGCCTTTTGCAACGTGCAAATAACCAGTAATTACTCTAAGTGTAAATGAAGACACATGATAGAAAACTTTAAGATAAACTTTGTCTAACTTCTTCCAACTAAACTATGAAACCATCGCCTTTTCATTCACAGATACTTCGTTTTAACGCCCAGTAAAAGTCATCCATTCAGAACAGCAATAAAAAAGTAAAGAGATGAAAAACCATGGCAAATAAATAACGTTAACGGTCATGAATTTTCATATAATGAGTAAAATCATATATTATGAGATTTCTTTAACAATATTAAATATATAATTAAAAGATTTTAGTACCCTCAGCCCTAAATTGATCTGAATGTGTCTGTTTTGATTTACATGGATTACCAGTCTTAGTAAAGCTTTCTAGTGTCACATATACACTCACACAATGACAGGCACGCACACACACACACACACACATAATTACCCCTCAGTGGAAAAATAACAGCTTTATCTCCGGTGCACTCCTTTTTTCTTTTTTTTTAACTGCAGTGCCCTGTTGGTAGCATAGTTTAATAGGAACTTATAAAATAATCTCAGTGAGTTAACCAGCTCCCACATGCACATAAAAAAGTCCTGTGGATATAGAGAGCAATTGACTTTTACCTGCCTTCTCCAGGGGAAGAGGGAGGACAGGGATGGCTTTCCACAAATATCACCTCCCCTCTAATGTTCCTCTTTCTCTGTGTGCTTCTGCAAAAGATACGGAGGAATGAACCAGGGACACTTACTGCAGTTTGCAGTTCTGGCTCAGCTCCAGAGAGTTATCTGCCAACGGAATGGAAGAGATAGCTTATTTTCAGTTTGTACCTGCTAAGATCACATAGTACCAGCCATCACCCCATCTACATTAACTGTCTTGTTATTTAATTTAGCAGGTGTCCCCAGGCTGTCTGTGTTTGTGATTGTGAGTTAACGCCTTAGCGTGTGTGATTGGGGTCAGCTAGGATGGTTGAGTATCAGGTTTTATGTAAATGACGCCTTTCCATGCTTCAGGATGCAGAGACACGCTTTGAGGATCAGATCAGTAAACTGGTGTTGGAGAAACAGGAGCTGGAGTGGGAGAAGGTACTGCTGGGCCTAGCTGGCTTTACATCAACATCTTTAATATCTATATTTTGGATAGGTGGACATTCACAAAAGATCACGGCTACTTGCATTCTTATTTAACAAATATTACATTTTGATGTTTTCTACTTTGTTGATCATCAGTTGTCTTGATTTATTTAGTCTTTTCTTGAATGACAGGAATCCCTACAATATCAAAGTGAAACAGTGGCAAACCAGCACACAGAGTCTCTCATCAATGTTAAGAAGCAGGTGTGTTTTTACCATATGGTTACAGTTTTATATCTAAACAAAGACTTTTAACAATGCATTAAGCCTATCAGACCACTTTCTTTCTTTTTCAGTTTCAGGCCAAAATCAGAAAAATTGAGGAGGAGAAGGTATTCCCAAAAACGTCAGAGCATTTTATTCAATTAATGTTTTTAGTGGAGTAGTAAATTCACTCATCTCAGTTGCACAATCTTGGCCCTTGGACTGGATTCTTTGGTGCTGTGCTTTGGTATTTATTGCTTTTTTGACACTCACAGTAATAATATAACATTTCAGGGGAAATACCAGGCCAGTGCTGAGCTAAAAGACAAAGAGATTAACAACTTGAAAGAAGAGCTGAAGTCGCTACAGGTACTGAGATGCGCAACACTCACAGCCTCTTCTCTCTATCTCTTCATCTCAACTCCCACTGATCCCATCATCTTTCTTTCTTCCTTTCAGCCTTGTTCTTTCTTCAAAATCATAAAAACAACTCATTTTACCATTACATTGTTCAAAGAGATAAGTAAATAAAGAAAGCTCATGCCCGACCAGAGTCAAGGGCATGTGGTGTCAGTGCGTAGGCCTGATCCAGTCTGGCTCCCAGAGTGTTCTCGTCTTCAGGCTTGACACCAGAGGTGATATACAGTCATCCCCATGGTCCGCTGCACTTTAACAACCCAGCCGTGTTACAGAGACAATAGGGACTGTTTTTGATATTCTATCTGGGGGACACTGACTGCGGTGTTTGGCTAAAGTGAGGCCCAGTTGCGTTCATTCTTGGGACACGGTCTGCTGGATTGCTGTAATTTAGCGCATTTTCACATCAGTGGCAGTTGGGATTGAAGTGATTTAATTGTCTTAGAGACGATCTGCTAAATTACAAATTTGAGCTCCACCTAACAGTATGGTTCAGTTAATCCATAATTAGATCTAAATAATTATTTTAATCTCAATAAATAACCTGGCTGCTATCTGCATTAATATAGTTCAAAATTTATTAGTCTCAAAATCAAACTGATGGGGGTATAACCACTACATTAAAAAAAATAAAGGCAAAGGGAATCTTAAAAAAGACTGAGGTAATGACCCAAACATTTGATTTACCATACGCCAACATTTATTATAATTAAGACTATATTTTTTTAAATCATCATTTGATCCTATTTATTTGACATATATTTCATGAATAAGAAAAACAAATATTTGACAAAGGTCAGAAATACATTCCCTCCCAACACATGAATCAACTTGCAACTCCTTAAAAGACAAAATATAATTATAGCGCTTCTACAGAAAGTAAGAATATGACGTGTAAATGGAGGAGTGTTTTGATTTCAATTTTCATAATCGATTAATTGTTTAAGTTGTTCTCTGGTACCAGCTCCTCCAGTGTGAAAATTAGTTGATTTTCTGTTTTAAACCATTGTAAATTGAATACATTGGTTGGACAAAACATGACATTGCAGATGTCACCTCAGGTGTTTGGAGACTGTGATGGACATTTTTCACCATTGAACAGACTAAATGATTAATGGCAAAAAAAAATTGAAAATCAACAGATTTATCAGTGATGAAGATCGTCATTAGTTGCAGCCTTCGAGAGAGAGGGAGCACATTTTAAGAAATATACAACATATTTAATATATATATAATATATAAAAATAACATACATATGTATACAATTATAAATAATATAGCAACATCATATTTAAATATAAATACATAATAAATATTTGTATACACTTACAGGACTTCTTATTCATGTTGGCTTAAAATTTCTCAAAGTCTTGACCTTGGAAACAGCAGCTGACTAATCAATATCACCTTGAGGCCCATTCAGTAGCAGTGCTGTGTCTGTGCGTTGTATAAATATGTGGCACCTTGATATAATGGTGTATTGCGTTAACATTGGAACATCTCATTTCAGTTTTTTGGATCCTCAGGAAAAGAGCGGGGAACGTTGTTTATTCGCACACTCTAACCCAAAATGCTCTACTCGTCTTGTTGATTTTCTTTTACTGGTGTTACAGTTGCTGAAGTACAACTTGGAGAAGAAATCCGGTGAGCTGGTAAGGAAAGATTCTCCACTTACACAAATTGTTGACAGAGGATGGGTGGGAGTGAGAAAAATTAAAAGAGGAGGATGAAGGAACGGTGCTAAGGAGAGATGGGTTTGGAGGGAAGAGCTCATCAGGAGTAACGGATAGGGAGTGCGTGACACTTTGAACTGCCAGCACAGCAGAGAAAATATCTCTATTAAAATATTTTATAACTGGGCCTCGCTCGGTTTAACCTTCTTCACATAACAGCGGCTCAGCAGAGTGAGAGGGAGTCGAAGCGAGCTGGTGTTTTGGAGAGAGGGATCGGAGGGAGTGAGAATGAGTGGGAAAAGGAGAGAGAAGGAAGGCATTTGCTCAGCTTGATACAGACAATCAAACTATAATGGCAGTTGGAAGAGCGATAAAGCGCTCTGAGACATGCGCTGAGCTGATTCCTTCATCCCACAGAAAGAGACAGGCATTAGCTGTGTTAGACCACGTTCCAACTTGACAGCTGTAGTTTTCTATGTCTGACAAAATGAGTACGGACCTAGAGCCAGCAGCCAGTTAGCTTAGCTTGACAGAAAGACTGAAAGCAGGGGGAACAGCTAGCCTGGCACTGTCCAGAGGTAACAAAACCTGACTACCAGCACCTCTAAAGCTCACTAATTTACATGCTGTGTCTCCATGCACAAACCAAAATGTGAAGAAGACTCCCTCTGTAGAGCATGCTCATTTCTTTGTCTGTTTGAACTATATTCCTTCCACAGGAACAGAAACTAGCGTTGCAGAGCAGGTCAAAGGACAGCCACTTGAACCAGCTGGGGGAGGTTGAGAAACGTTTCAGTGCTCTGTCATGGCAGTGCGCCATTGTCAAGCAGGCTCACGAGAAACTAGAGCAAAATGGTAATTAATGGAAAGAACAAACAATGTTCTACATAGATCAGGATACATGCAGTACATCATCAGTATGTGTTATTGACTGTTACTGAGGTAGTGTGCCTTAAAAAAAAAGAAGAGGCCCCTGTTTTGCTCCAGAACAGCCTGAATTCTTTAGGGTATGAACGTAACAAGGTGCTGGAAACAATTCGCAGGGTCCACGCTGGCTTGATACTGTAGGATGACTCAGCAGCACATTAATTCCTGCAAATATCCAGTTTCACTTCATCTCAAAGATATTATTTTGGGGTCAAGGTCTGGGTAATACGCAAGGGTCAGTCATGTTCCTTTAAATGCTCCTCCAGAGTAAACTGTGGCTATAAAGAGACCTCCCAGGTCAGCAACAACGTTTAGTGTCAGACAGTGCTCAGTTGCTAGCACAAGGCTTTATGTGAGCCAATAAAATATTCCCACCTAACAGGTCAGGCTCTATGGGTGCATGCTGCTGACAACAAATATACATCCTTCAGCCACTATTGTGACCATGTGTCAAATGTAGCTTACTCTACTTTTTGTCACCTGACAATAGAGGAACCAGGCAGGTGCCACAAGGCTCAATAAGCGGTGTTTTTTGAGACGACTTTTTGCCCACTATCATGAAGTTTTTGGCCTCATGTGATCCACCGATTAGAGGTGTTTTCTTTAAAAGGGGTGCAGATTTAATAAATGTGTGTGTACAGCATTCAGTATGTCATGTCTCAAATGTTTTGTATTATCAGGTAATTTCAAATTGAAGTTAATTACACTGTCACAGCTACCTAAACACATTTTTAAACACATTTATCTCAAATTGACACAGTATTTCTGTTCATTAAGAGGTGATAGAGATAGAGATACAGTTGGCTTGTTTTACCATGGCTGTAATAAAAACATACTTTTTTTGTGATGTTGCTGGGAAGTGTTAATTATTTATTATAAGAACACAGGACAACCAGAGTGAAAATATTAAACTACAGGAACTGATATAATATATATTTTGAAATGAAGTTATTGTTGCCTATTTTGCGTGTCATTCTTATAGTTAATGAGGCCATGAAAATAAATGACAAACTGACTTCTGCAAATGGAAGACAAGAAGCAACCATTGTGTCACTAAAGAAGGTATGTGGAAAGTGTCCTAACATTTGGAATTATTTGAGGCAAGATGTCATCGCACTTTAATTACGAGTGTTTGTTGTCACAGCCAATAGCAAGGTTGCTCAAGAAATAGTATTAAAGAAATAGCATTAAAAAGTATTTAACCAAAATCCTGAGTAATCGACTTGAGTAATTTCTGTACTTTTGAAATGTTTGAATGTACGGTGCTGTCTCAGGAGCTGGAGGAGGTCAGTACAAAGCTGATCAAGACCAAGATGGCATCAGCTAGGCATGACAAGACCCATAGTCCTACAGGAGGAGAGCAGCGTATACAGCACCTGAAACTGAAACTGAACATGGTAAATGATGATCAGTAAATAAGAATACTATTTTTATTTTTGCCAACCCTTAACCAAGTTGACACTGATCTCTATCAAAAAATCACACTATAGTATTGACAAAGACTGTTTGCCAGAAAGTTAATGATGCATTGTTTCCCTTGCATGTTAGGAAACTGAAATTAACAAGAAACTGGTTGAGGAAAATGTTGCTGTACGAGCAGAAAAGCAGGTAAAGAAAACAAAAAAAGGAAGAAAACATGTCACCATAACCTATTCCTCTAATATGTTCAGAGGCTGATTAACTGTCCAAAGTAATACTCAAAGAAGTGTCTTTCCTTCCACTGGCATTTCACTTTTTATGATTTAAAATAGCAAATATTGTAAAACAACCTTTACCGTCATATAACCGTGTTGTCGTATTGCTTCTTTGTGGATACCTATATTGTGTGTGTGTGTTTGTATAGGAGGTGATGAGATCTCTGCAGCACACCCAGCAGCTGATGTTGAGTCAGACACAGGCAGTAAGCAGAGTAGAGCTGGAGCTGCAGACACAAAGAGAGCAGTACCAGGTCAGTAGTCAGAATCTTTCTGCCTTTGCTGGTTTATGAACATAACTGTTCATATTGTACACATAAATGTACATACGCATAGATTTACTTTCATACATGGCCTTAAATTGCTTATTTTTACAATTGTTTTCTTGCCACCTGATCCTAGATTTATACCATCTTGTCCCCCACCATATCAATTACAGATGTGTTAGTTTTGATATACTTTAAATTTTATTTAAATTTTGAGCTCAAAAGCAGATAGCAATTGAGAAAAGAAAAGAAACCTATCTTATAGTAGAACTTTTACCACAGACCTGGTACATCACCATGTTTTACATTTTACTTTTTGAAATGAAAGTAAAGCTGTTTTGCAGCTACAAGTGGCTGCAATTTTGCTGAACTAATAAAGATAATAAAGAAGAAGAGGAAAGAAGTCAGACAACATGTCTGAACCGACAGTGTTATTATTCTATTATATGATCATGTTAAAGAAAAGACAGGTTATCTGGAATTTAGACATATACTTTCATATTTTAGTGTATTTTAAAACATCTTTTAGAACAGATAAAGCAGAAAGTCATGTGGAAAACATCACACTGTGTAATCATTCGGATTGAAACTGGAAATTGTAGGATTTTATTCAGGAGCAGGTAAAATATTTTTTAGTAAGATGGGAATAAAACAGAGGGTGGCATGGTGGTGCAGTGGTTAGCACTGTTGCCTCACAGCAAGAAGGTTTCCACGGCCTTTCTGTGTGGAGTTTGCATGTTTCTGCGTGGGTTCTCTCCGGGTGCTCTGGCTTCCTCCCAAAGACATGCGACCTAGGTTGATTGGTGACCCTAAATTGTCCTTAGGTGTGAGTGGTTGTTTGTCTATGTGTGGCCCTGCGATGGATTGGCGACCTGTCCTGGATGGGAATAAATCCATCCATCGTAAAACAGGAGAAGTATTTCTGAGACGGTATGTGTGAATCTTGTGCTTAAAAAAACATACTCATCAAGTTTATGCTTTAACAGATGTAAGCAAATGTATGTAAAATGGATTTGAATGCTATAATATGTGGTGTAGTTTTCCAGTTGAAACCCTGCGCCACCTTTTGGTCCCACACACATCGGGAATTTTTCAGGGTCTTTTTAAATGATTATGGAGTGAATTTACACAAGGACAGAAATAAATGACGACCAGCGTTTCTTCTCATAAATGTGATGAATGTGGAGTTGTACATCACAACATATACATTAGGGAATATGGTCCCCTCCGCAACTGAATGATAGTTAGTGTGTTTATTCTCCATTTATGGCTTTACAGTTTATTATTCTCTTTTCTTCTCTCTGTACCCCCTTCTCATTTTTAATTCACCTACTCATTCATTTATTAAAATCATTATTAAAATGACACAAGCCAACTGATTTGTATTAGCAAGAATCCCTCTCTCTCTCCTTGCCCTGTTTAAGACCTTCTGTTCACGTTAAATAAACACATAAAAATTTAGTATTGCATTAAAAATCCTATGGGTGATTAATTTTATGGCAGGGCCTTAAGCAGGAACACAGGGTGAAAAGCAAGGCAATGGAAGACAAGGTGGCCCAACTGATGGAGAGCTACGCTGCTTCCAAGACCAGCTGGGACAAAGAGGTAGAAGAAAGACTGTAGTGTGAAACGGGAAGTGTGATTGGGACATTTTACAAACACAAACAAAAGCAAGTGTCAGGTTAGACTGTACTGTTAAAAAAATCATAATGTTAGTGGCTAATTGTTGTTTGTCACACTGAAACATCTGAAAGAGTGATTTTAATCCGTCTATGTACGTTTGGATTAAAAAGAAAGCAGTGTATCTGGACCGCATCAAGAGTGAGCAGCAGGACCTTCAAGCGGTGAAAGAGGCTTACTACGAACTTCATCAGAAATACACTGAACTGTCCTCACAGGCCAAAGTGCAGGCTCAGCATGTATATGAATTGGAGGTACAGACACACACGCAAAACACATTTATAGTGGCCTGTGTGTAACCAAATACACAGAGGAGTTAGTAATGTCACCACGAATACACCCATACATACAGAGACAAAGCTATTTCAGTAGCATTTTAGGCTCTTACCTCACAACCTTACAAGGTTTTTCCTGGCTAATATGAAGCAATTGTGGTACTTCAGTTGTGACCTACTGAACCTCATAAATCTTTTTCATATGAAGATATAATGTAAATATTCACTTGGTCCTAAGCAGATCCCATCTGCTTATTGTGCACTAGATAATGTTACGAATCAGGAAGTAAAAGAAAGTGTCTTACAATAAATCTCTCAATATGGAGCTTAAAAACTGCACTGAAATACCAGAAAAAACTTAAATACATGAACAAACAGTACAATCCAATCACCTTTGAATCCTACCATTATGAAGCTTGTCAGCAGTTTTTTGTTGAGACTTCATTGATTTAGTGCTGTGGTCAGTTTGGAGGCTATGGCGCTGCTGCTGTTCTAATAAAATGTTTGAAAAAGCAATTGGAAAGCACTGCCAGTCCACAATGAACCGTTTAAGGTTCAGTGATAGAGTGGTTGTCTGTAAGCCTAAAGAAGCACTTTGTGTGGTGTCACATACTGTAGCAAAAGTGTGAATAAAAGCAAGTGACATCCAACGTGTGGTTATAGAAACACCTGTCAACCAAAACAAAAACACAGATAAACAACAGATTAAAAAGTTGCAGAGAAAACTCACTTCCTACAGCTACCAATGCTATTCACCATCCACGTACTGTAGTGTGAATGAGTGAGTGAATGAATTTGGCCACAGCTGGCGATGTTTTTGAAAAAGGTGAAATAAAAGCAATTGGGCATCCTAAGCATGTGACTTTTTCTCTACACAGATGAGACACAGCAGTCAGAGCCTCAGTGTTTCTACCCACATCTTGCCCACTTTTGGAGATGAAGCTCTTAATGAACCCATCTCCAGCTCTGAGCTTCCTAGCTTTAGCAGTGTGCAGCACATGGCCTCTACTCAGACCAAAAACCCAGACAGTCTGGAGGACACAGGAGCTGTGACTACACTAGTTGCCACAGGATCAGCTAGAGGTCAGTCAGCTAAATTTAATCTCAGTGGATAAACATACATTTATTACTTGTTCTGTTCTGAGAATTAAGCATAGTTTTTTTTTTACCCAGAACACAAGTCATTTGTAAACAGTCTGTAAAACAGTAACATTTATGCATTATTTTACTTTTATATATTAAGCTATAGCATTTTCATGACCAGAACAATTTTTTTCTAAACATGTATGACGTGTTCTCTTTCAGGACAAGATACCCCAGACTACCATCAACAATCTCAATTTGAACAGTCCCTAAACCTTATAAACTTGTTTAGCTGCCCACTTACCAAAAACAACCATTACAGCCTCTCCAGTCTTTGTGGATCAACAGGCAGTGACACCAGCGCATACATGAACAACAGTAACACTAGGAAGAGTGATCCTGATGTAGTTCAGAATTCAGAATTCATTCATACTACTTACTCTGTGTCTTGTGCTGGTCTGCAGATTAGCAAAGGTAGCTGTGTGAGCGACGCACCAACTGTATTGAACCACAGGTATATTGATGGATCTGCAGACTTACGGAGCAAAGAAATGGGTGACGAAGGGAATGGAGGAATGAGTGAGAAAGAACAGGGATTGAAAGATGATGTGAAGGAGGGAGGAAGGGCTGGAGAAGAGAGAGGAACGCTCATGGCCCAAACAGCAGATAGAGCAGACACACAAGAGGATAGCCAGCGGTCAAGAGAGGATGCAGGGGACACCACACAGCCTGAAACAGAAACAAAATTTCTTGCAGGGGGAGAAGGGACAGATGGAGCGGAGGAGAGGGGAAAGACAGGGTTACACGTGCCAGAATCACCACAAACCCAGATACCGGCCCAGACGACTACCGAGAAGAGCGACGCGCAGAAGGTCATTGACTTCATGGACACTGAGCCACCGCTGGCTGCCTGTGAGCCCTCAGACTGCTCACAAAGGCACTCTCAGAAAGTCAGTGAGAAGGAAGCTGACTGCAAGGAAGCTGACTGCAGTCATGTGAACAAAGGATATGACATCAGGAGAGAAGTACAAACCCTCTGTTCTGGTGAGCACCAAAGTGTCCGCCAAGGGCCAAGCTCTGTCATTCAAGCGGTGCAACGCCTCTGTCATGATGAGGCCCAAACCGTTGCTGAGTCACTCACTCAGCTGCCCAGTCCAATACATCAAGTGTTCGACAAAACCACAGAAGAGAAGCCATCCGACAAATTAGCAGCCAATATCCCCACTGATGTTTCTGAACCTCTCAATCAGTCAAGTATTTGTGGCCCACAGACCAATACTGCACCAGCAGCTCCTCAGTCAGATGGTATTGTCAATACCCAAGAGTTAGAGACAACGACAACACAAACACAACCTAGTAATCGTTCTGACACTACCAGCGACATGAAGCAAACAGATGAAATGTGTAATACATACACTTTTCATCTGTCTGAATGTGAATTGGTGAGAACAGTGGTTGAACCACAAGCACTACCCCACAGTCAGGAGGTCTCAGAGCAGGAGACTGGACAGCTGGAGTCTCTGGTAACTGATGATGAGGAGGGGGATTCTAGTGCAATTATGAAGAGGGAAAGTCAATCAAATGCAGACACACGTGAAAACGATGCCTCTGGGACTACCCAGAAACCTATGGAAAGATCTAATTTGAAGGATGCCGGTGTTGATATCGTCGTGGACCTTGAATCTGAGGGTGAGAGTGGCAGCTGCCAGGAGCACATGAAAAGTGACGAAACAGAAGAAGCAGGAGATGCAAAGACTACTAAATGTGAAACCGACGTGAACCTGTCTGCCCATCCAAGTCATAAGAATGATGCATCGCCAGAGGCGGGCACCTCAAAATGCTGTGAGCAGTCTCCAGCAAAAAAAGTGTTCCTTGATGAGACTAATGAGTCGCCTCTGCCCAGCAATAAGACTTACAGGTCATCATTCGACTGGGGCAGTGCTCAGAGAAAAACTGTAAGCTCCAGATCGAAGTCAGATGTCTCTGTCTTGCGTCAGTTTGTTCAGGTATTATAGTTAAAATATTAACGCATGACCATGTAGTGGCCTTCAAGAGAGCCTTAAAGGTACATCTGTATTGGTTATCATAACATTTTACTTGCCTTTGGGGGTGCAGTGTTACACAGCTGTATAATACAGTATACAGAGAGACTACAGGTTTTAGGTAATTATATTTTTAAGGCAAAAATTAAGGTTAAATGAACCCAAACTGTCAGATGTAGACCTTCAAAACTTGAATTATATTTGTGCATGCACACATTTTTACAGTGCAGTTTAAATCAACCTTTTCAGTTGATGATTTGTGTATTCATAATTGAGGTAAACTAGGAATTTTTAAAAACCCATCTTATCATCTAATTGCTCATGTTGCTTAGCCTGCCGGACTAGATTCTAAAGCTGCGTCTGCAGGTAGGGCTGTGACCCCAGCAATTAAATTGTGTGCAAAATATGATTAGACCAAATAGGAATAATGGTCCGGAACACCAAAACAAAATAAAAAAAAATAAATTTCTTAAAAATCCAAAATGCATTGCCATTTAGACTTAGAAATGTCCTAAAGCACAAAAAATGTGTTATTGGACACAGTATATGGTCAGTATTGTTACAGTGGTTGTTTTGGTCTCTGTGAAATAGGGATCCCCAATGTCTGAGCAAAATATAAGTGATCCTGGTGGACTCCTCGGACATCCTCCCAGCACAATACCCATGTTCCTCAAAAGCAAGCACAGCAAAGGTGATTGTTGCATTTATATCTTTCATTCCATTAAAAAATATGCCGTTTTAGAATCACAGTAGTATTGTACTGTAGGTCTCCCCCCTGACATACTGTACATTCGTCTTTCATAACCCCCTAATAATCCTTCATTCTTACCTTCTTGCTGTTCTTGCCATCTCACCTCATTCTTCCTAGTCCCCTTGGTGATTACCAGGGCGTCGGATCTGCTGAATGCCTTCAGCGTCTCTGGGACTGCAGCTTACTCGAGGAGACACCAGCAGGGAGAGTGGAAGGCTCTTGGGGAGACCTGTAGAGAAACAGCAACAGCAGACATGGTCAGTAAGAAGCTGCTCTCTTGTGCTATACTCTTGTTACATACTCACGAATTGATTGACAAAAATGATATTGACACACCATAAACCTTCAGCCTCTACACGATACCGAACCGAGGTAAAACAGCGCTGATGATTTGCATGCCCCATATCTCATTTGATGTATTAATGATTCCTCACTGGATGATCTCAACTTACAGCTATGTGGAAAATTTCATTTTAACTGCTGAAGCCCACGTCCAAGTATATTTCATCACTGTAAAGCCACAACATTGTTCCGCATTACGACTTGATGCTGAACAGCAGGCCACGGTGTGATGTTCACACAGAAACATATGAGCCGCCTCAGAGGAAGTTAGAATGACCCTTATAAAATATTTTCTCTATCAAATAAATTGGTTTGAGGTCATTTCTGTTCCACAGATTCTGAGTTTCATCATTTTCTACAATGCATCTGAGTGGACCCCAGGGGAAATTTGCACTAGTGCTTAATGAATACGCCTGTTATATCACCCTGACATGTCCTCATAAGAACGAGACATTGTGATGCTTTTTTCAACATTTTTGTGGTCCAAAATGTGAGAGCAAGCAAATGTTAGCACAGGCCAATACATTTAACAAAACGTACAGAATATTTGAGAAAGATTTTACACTTTGACAAATGTTAGGTTAGGTGTTGAGTGAGAGGATGTAGCTGATGTATGCTGAACTCATAGACGTCCTGTAGACAGCCAGACAGACAGAGAATGAATGACCTGTGGAAGAAAATCTACCTAATGATGCTTGGGTACCTCTCCTCTCTCACTTACTCAGTCTTTATCCATTCCCTCACTCTCTCTCTTCCCCTCTCACTTCATCATCCCTCTCTCACTCACTCACTTTCTCCATCCTCTTGCTAGTATTCTCTTTTTCATTCTCGGTTTTTGCTTTTTCACTCTCACACGCTCTCAGGCTCTCTTTTGTCACCATCACCGCAAACTGTCACTCTGTGTTTTATAAGATCCAGGTGCTGGCAATTGAGGGAGATAGAGTGCAACATGCCTCGAGTATGAGAAAAAAATACTGGTCTGATAGTTAAACAAATTGTAGTGAGCGCCAAAGCCCTTATTTTCTGCAGACTCTGAATGCTGGGAACGTCACACAGAGTTCAGTCTGGGCCTGGCTACTTTCTCTAGGCTGGATACTGTTACATATCAATTGCCGCTGGTTACTGTCTGCCCTGCATTTGTTTATCAGTTAATGTTCCTTTCACGAGAAGGCACTGGGGCTTGAGAAATAATGAGTCCTTTAACTGCTTTTTCTTTACTGGCTAAATATCAGACACGGTACTGATTCAGAGTAGATGTTTGAGATCTACTATTTGTACTTTTTGGTGTCCATTTTTACATAGGATAGCAGAGTTTCCATGAGCTCTTTTCCTGTTTCCACGTCCTCCACCACAGTCAGCAGACTGTCATGGCAGACCACCGCCGGGTAAGTACATTTACCCTACATAAAGAGGGCCCCCATCCTTTGAACTAAAAGAGACTTTGTACTACTCTGCAAAGTACTTGTGTGTTTTTGATTACTGCAAAGACGTGACTATTATTGCAGTTTTTATTTTGAGTTTTGAGCTAAAATCCACAACTTCACACATTGTAGGGAAGAGGTTATACAAAGTGATGCTCGAGCTACAACAGAGGATCATCCAAAATGACCCCCCCCCCAATATATGTTTAAAAATGTATTTAAACAATGGCTTTGATCTTTGGACCCACGTAAGGTGCAGATGCCACCAGTGCACAAAAAATTGGGCCTTATGAAACAATTTGTCAGAGCTCTAGATGAGGAGTCAGCAGCCTTCAAGTACTTACAAGATTCCTTCCCATGAGCTGCCTCAGGCAAAGATCAAAGCCGGTGTTTAAATACATGTTGATTTAGATTCATAAGTTGTTTTTTCTGACTTTATGTGACAAAGACACACGTTTTCACGTTTTCTCATTGAAAATAGGAATATTTCATAATATGACTGTCCTGGCCGTAAAAGCAAAGTTTGTGGGGCCATTTTCTTTACATTCGAGGCATAAGCTATTAGGAAATAACACTTAACTACCCAGGAACAAAATGTTGTTACATAGTGTAATTCAGGATTACATAGACCTACTGTCGTATAACAAAAAATATGATATTTTAACAAAATAAGTTATTTAATCCATTATTTAACGTAATATGAAGGTGATTTCATAATGCTTCATGTCAAGAGCTCTGTCATTGTCATTGTATAATTACTAACTGAAACTAGCTAATGTTAGTTTCTCCTTAAAACCAGGTGTAGCAGAGCTCCTACCTCAGCTGCAGTTCCCAGTTTTGAGTCAGACTGGGAACCCTCTCGCTCCCAGGAGAGGGAAGACCAACAGTCGTCATTCAGAGCCCAGATCTCCAAAATCGAACAGTTCCTCAACTCAGAGAGGCTCCGTCTGCCCAAGAGACGAAGAACTGACAACTAAACCACCAAAACGTTCTGGATGCTACTGTATCCAAAGTTACATCACAAAATCTTCTTCTGTAGCACATATTTGGTAACTACCGGTAGTGTGAGTTTAAATGTTCTGAAAGCTATCACTATTATAATATAGATGCATTATTGATTTCTTTCAGCTTAATATTCCCTTCTGATTACATTTCAGTGGGTTTTATTTGCAAAGTCAGAAGAGCCTAAGCCGTGAAACATGACACGTGACAACAAAGGGTGTCTAGTTTTTGGCATAACTCTTTGCCTGTTCATGTTACTGTTAAACATTTAAATGAAAAACCTCTCTGTTTATTAGTTGTTTGTGTTGCTTTATCTTTTTTTGTTTTAACATACAGTTGTATCTGTATAAAGCCGTGTTGAAATGTTTGCATTATCGTATATACAAGAATAAAACATTTGGCTCATGCTTGGATTTACTTGTCATTTGAAGGCTTTCTGAAGTTGTCAGTTGTATCGCATGTTTTCCAAATAATCTACATAAAACTCAGCAGTGAATGTGGTCCTAACCCTGTCTCTCCCCTCGCGAGTACATTTTGATCAAGGACAGTACAGCCAGCCCTCTACTGCCTCAATGAACAGTGCAACATAACTTGGCACAGCAAACCCCACAAACAGCTGGTGGTTCTTTAAAGGCAAGGACGCATTTATTGAAACAACAAAACAGTATGTGTTACATTTGGTTTACTGGAGTCACGCATTCACAGTATGTCAGGCATTTCATAGCAAACAGCCAGATAAACAACCAAGACCAAGCACCTTTGTCAGATAGTAAAGCCTGTAACTGTTAACATGCTAATTAACATTAATTAGCGTCATGGCCAATCAGGGTTGCATGTCTCAGAGGAGCTCTAATTGTGGAGGCACCTTTGGTGATACCCTGTTGTTTCTACCGCTGCTGCTGTTGTTGGGTCAATTACGACTTGGGACACAACTCTGTTAACACGTATTAACATGAATTGAGAGATAACAATTAGCACAACCCCCCCAAGCCTAATTAACAAAAATCAATTAGCAATCATAGCATCTAATTAACCCATTCTAACGAGCCTCTCGTTAACTTTATGTTCCCTGTGAGGATCATGTAGGGAAGAACGTGTGAGCATGAAACAGCTGACCACAGATACATGCTTCTTATCAGTTTGACATGTACTTTACTACACGTTTGATGTACCCTAATGAACTGGCAAAGCTTTTGGAAGCGGGCTGGAAGATCAGCACAGTATAATAGAGCTTTGGTTAAATAAACATTTCTGAGCAGTAGAGGCAGAAATGATCTTGGTTCTCCTCGGATCAGTTTACAGGATAGTATAGCATGCTGGATTAGTTTGTAGAGCGACTGCAAATTTAGGGTGTCTCCAGTCAGATTCCTCGTAGGAGGACAGTTATCCTGGAAACTGATCTATGCTAAAGCCAATCAGATACTTAAACCCCAATTGGCGAAGCTGCAAAGTTTCAGCCATTGATAACAAAAACATTTAGTTTACAGTCTGGCTGAAATATATACAAAAACGTACATGCAAATCCTATTTTCATTCATATCTTTTAAATGTCTTCTTAAAACCAATTATCTTATAGCCTTTTCTTAACTGGTGGTATTGTAATTGTTTTTATAAATAATTCCTTTTTTTTTTAAATATATTTTTGTTTTATTTATTTTGTGCCTTAAAATGCAGGGGAGTGTGGGTGGCAGTATTGAGCACTCGTGTGACTGCACTTGTTTTGTTCCAGCCAGATCTGTGGCAGAATATGTTTGGACATTTACTACACTCCAGAGCTGACGTTTGTTGGAGGGTCTTAATGTAAAATCTGGCTTCTCTTTCTTTACATCCAAGGTGCATCTCTTTGGCTATGTCATTTGGGGTTTGTGTCAGTTGGGGATGAGAATAGCAATAAAAGGGATTTGTGAAAAGTGTGAAAGTCAGTGGAAATGTTTTTGTGTGAGAAAGGTGAAGCTGATTTAATCTTTTTTTCACGCGGAAACTTTTCAAAATCCTGATGTAGGACAGGTACATGGATCAGGAAGTCTCTGCCACTGGCTGCAAAGCTTTCGCAAACATTCTGCTCACGTACTAAAATTAACAGCGCACATTTGATGATGGCACAAGGTCTCCGCTTGGTCCATCTTAGTACACTTACTGATAATGAATACGCCTGAATGTTAATGTGCTCGTAAAGAAATCTGGTGCGTTTGAGTGGCTCTGCCCACCACTGCTGACCCTTATCCTCACTGGGAGGAAGGGAGGGGAGGGGAGGAAAGGTAGGGGGGAGGAGTGGAATATAAAGGAGTTAATTTTAATACACTCGCGCACACAAACACATACATGTTCGGTTCCTCTCTCACATACAGTTTCTCTCTCTTCCTTATTATCTTACACACACACACACACACACACACACACCTGGGTTATGAAGTGTTGGCGCTTTGAAACAGTCAATTACCCTCTGGCTAGGGAGGATACCTGCTGTTAATTACTGCTCTGTGTTTTATATGGAGAGTAAATAAAGAGACCGCTGACATTCACATTCCATCAATGTGTCCCCCAGCGCACTGTATTGTGTTGTGGATGTTAAAATAACCCCTCAGAGGTGGGCACCATGGGAAAAAAACACACATATCGTAGACATTAAGATTGTCAATGCCTGTATCATCGGCTGTATCGCATGCTGTATTGCAGCAAAACAACAAAATCGGTTCAATGTAAATGTATCTCTTACTTCTAATGTAAATGTACTTTATTTCATGTTTCAACAGAGGTTGAACCCTTGGACTGATAAAATGCAAATGATGACACAGTACAATGCAGTAATGGACAGTACCCCCCCCCCCCCTATACAGTAAAGGAGCGGTCACAAGTTTGAATTCAAGCCTGATTTACTGCCCCATTTTATTGAAATTCTGTACACGAGAAGGGAGGAAAGCAATATATTTGCCAATCCTCCAGCTAAATGGGTCTCACCACTAAACATTGTTGAATAACCTGGGGTTATGGGGCCATGTTTTGTCATATTATACCTCTTTGCCTCAAAAGCCATCACAGTAAATCTGGTGGGGAAGTCGTATTAAACGGTGCAGTAGATGTCTGCTGAGACGGAGGCTGAGTGCAGTCCTGGCACTCTGAGTGTACTCTGCAGTCTTAAAGTGAAGAAGTGCAGCTGCTCCTTTGGCCCTGTAAAAATACTTAAATGAGCAGATTATTATGGAGAGAGCAAGATTCTGCTTCTCCTAATTCACCTTACACTGTAGACTAGAGCTTCCTTATTTAAAGTTTTCTCTATATGGCAACCTTTCTGAAATATATCCATTTATCATTATTTAACTTGAATTTAAGAGAAAAGGTTCATTTGTTACTGATTTGATAAAGGCAGTTAAAGGCTAAATTTGCAATTTTTCAACCTTATTTTCTCATTTTTTTGTGTCTATGTGACTAATTGGGACAATACTTTTTGAAATCGGTCCAGTATTGAATTAGTGCGCTGCGGGTGGCAGCGAAACAGGGCTGCAACGTAATCTTTGTGGGCAATTCCACCCCGTCAACGTACTAAAGTGCTTGTTTTTGCCACTGACAGGCTCAGATTGTTTTACAAGTGTCTGACGACATTGTAGAAAGGATCCCTACAGAGACAAAATTGGTGTTTTTAACCCTTTTAAACACCAAAGTCACACAATAACACAAACAAACTAAGTGACCGAGGCAGCGGTAGACCAGCAACTCCTGCGTACTGTGAGGTTAAATTACTGGTTTTGTCAATGTCTCGTGCCTTTGAGTAGAGTGATATAGTGACTGTTTTTTTGGTTAAACAAAAAGGATCTTACTCTTTAATAACAAGTCTATCTCTGTAGAGATCCTTTCCACACAATGTTGTCAGATACTTAACATTCTGAGCCTGTCAGCGAACACGTTACCTCTCAACTACAAATAATCCATCCATTCATCTTCATCTGCTTAACCCGGGGTCGGGTCGCGGGGACTACAAATAATGAATACATTAAATACTTACACATCCATATACACATTTTGCTGACCATTTTTACATGGATTTTAAACTGTTAAGTAGTTTCACTACTGTTTGGACCAACCATTGGTTCCCATTTATTTCTGATATGAATATCAATAAATAACTCAAACTTGCATGCATTTGTTAATCCATTGCAGTTAACATCAGGTCTGTATTAGTTTTGGTCAATGTTACATTATTGTTGATGGCGGAGTTCAGACTGATTTAATTGAAAAATGGTTTGCACAAGGGTGCGTGAAAATGCTTACATGAAATGTATGAAATTGACTAAAACTTAACCATGGGTGTGGGTTTTTTTGTAAACTGAAAACAAAACTGGGTCCCACTCCTAAAACAATCCTTTATTGTGCCACAAGTGATCAAAAACTCCACAGGGTACCTTTAAGGTGAAAACATGCAGCTGTTGTTCCTTTTTAGAGGCACATATTTCAACTATAAAACTACACTCAGCATTATACAGTCAGCTGTTTCTGTTATTTAGTTCACCCACACTGGTATAAACGGGGTGGACAAAATAATAGAAACATATTTCAGTATAAGGCAATATAATTCAACAGTATCTAAAATCCCCATACAGTTGAATCAACACGTCTCTAAAATGGTTTCAATAGAAACTTAACATTATAACCTTAATTAAGGTTGAATTTATTGTATTACACATCAGTTTTAGCTAGTATGTGTCTCAACTGTTTTCTGAATTCTAAAATTGACTCATGTTTTACTCTTCAATCATAATCCCCCTTGAGCACTACTGCTGTAATGGGTAGACTCCTTTATATTCAGATTTTCACAATATGAAAGTAGGTAATTGTTCAAAAATAGGAGAAATATACAAAGATAAAGATTTGCTCAGGACCACTATGCCGGTTGTACACACATCTTTTGATTTGCCACTGCACTGTAGCTGTTATTCTGTTGCCACATGCATTGTGCTATGCGCTATAAGACAACAAACTAATGTAAAACTATACAACAACAATAGTCTCATTGTATGGAGCTATCCTTGTGTTTTTTCCTTCTGATCATTTCACTAAGTTGAGTTTAAGCTACATGGAATACCTTTCTAAAGCCATTCCTCCCAAACCAAATCTGTGAAAATCTCCTGCTACTGGATATGAGTGAGTTATCCACACAGTAAATCAGTGAACTACCCCTGTAACAGTTGAACACATCAGTAGAATTAAAAGAAAAGAAAATAACAGACATCTAAACTAAAACCTCTCAGTGTTTTACTGTTTTCTTCGCATAGCATTTCTTATTTTCAGGTTTGAAATATAGTTGTGCCGTTTGTCTTCTGTGGTTTCTATCTCTGCACATTTTTACTGCGGTGAAACCTCACGACGCTGATAAATAACAGGCTTCACCTTTCCTGAGCGGGGCTCAGCATGACTGACT